CACACACACTGACAGAGAGACACACACACACACACTCTCACACAAACACAGACAGAGACACACTCAAACACACACTCACACACACGCACAGACAGAGACACTCACACACACACAGACAGAGACACACACTCAAACACACACACACACACACAGACAGAGACACACACTCACACACACAATTATATAAATATTACAATTTAAATATTAATATTAATGGATATTTATAATACATATACATATGTATTCTAAGTGTTGAAATATTTATAATAAATATTATTGTTAGTAGTAATGTTGTAATTTAATTATTAGTAATACTAATTTTAATACTATTATTATTATTATTAAAAAATATCAATGTATGTGTTCATGTATGTATATGTAAGTTGTATAATAAATATTCTTATTAATGGATATTTATTATGCATATAATGTAGAATAAATATTTATTTTAATGAATAAGTATTATAAGCATTGTAATATTTATAATAAATATCATTAATAATATTATAATGATTAGTAATACAAAACATTTTATTAAATATCTCAGTTTGAATGTGTATAATAAGTAAAATAAATATTCATGTTAATGGATATTTACTATGTCCATTACAATAATGTGTAATAAATATTCATTTTAATGAATATGTATTATAATTACTGTAATATTAATATTATGATTATTTTTATTAATTACTAGTGCTGTTAAACTTAAAAAGTTTTTGTTTACATCCTGTATGTGTGTGTACTCTGTATATTTATTATGTATATATAAATACACTCACAAGCATGTATATATTTAAGAAAAATATGTTACATTTATATTAAACATTTATATATAATACAAATTATATGAATATAAATATTGTAAATATTTTCAAAATATATACTGTATGTGTGTGTATTTATATATACATAACTATGTAAACAAAAACGTATTTTAAATGCGATTAATCGTTTGACAGCACTATTAATTACTAATTTTTTGTATTATTTATTATTAATTGTCATTATAAATGTAACATTTATTATAAAGATTGCATAATAGCATATAAATGTTGTGTGCTCGACTCCTGGAGACTGATGCTAGTGTGTGGTTCTCCAATGTTCTGGTGGTGTGTGTCTCGTCAGGTTCTCAGTGTGAATAAGAGTGTTTCTATGATGGACCTGCAGGACTCTCGCATCAACAGCGTGTCCAACCTGCACTCGGTGAACGACCTGCTGA